CCCCTCCTCTATTAATGCCTTGATTTTGATTTGGACCTTTAAAATTTTGGTCCATATCATAAGGCCTGTTCTTATTTGGTCCTCCTTGGCTACCCATTCCTGGTGCAGGACCGAGTAATGGCATTCTCTGACCACCTGAAAAATATGAACAGTAATAACATCAAACTCCTAAACAGCTCAGAGAAAACAAAAGACAAAGCAACAAGCAACCTATCAAAAATAGTGGCACTGTTCATGTTGCTGTTGGCAAGTCAAAATTTTGGTGACAAGTTGCATTTGGTGATGTCAAAAATTCTTCCATATCTTAAGGATGTTAACCCTTGCTTTTGACTTTTTCGAAAATCCTCTAGTTTTATCCATGTAGATCCAATAAAAATTTTGCCCGCTAACCTCTACTTTTCTTTTAATAATTTTATAAAATATAATTCAAAAAGCCATTTCTGCAAACGTATAAATTCTTTGTTATTTTTTCATAGTTTTTGAAAGAAAAAAGGTTAAATACACATATGAAAAATCTAGAGAGAAATATTTCCTGCCAAATTTTCAATTGATTATATCTAAAAAAGCAAGAACACAGACCTATTATTTTTTTCTACTTTATAAAATTCGTTATTTATATACATCCAATTTACAAGTCTTTTAAAATGCTTGTTATTTTGAAAAGAGGAGCAAACATCCTTAAGACTCTTACGTAAAGCAGAAGTCAATCTAAATTGATCTTGCATTGAATGCAGAAGCTAAAATGTGTTCTTGATGACTTACATTTATTCTTTCATCAACATGAAAAAGTGTGGTATATCAGGTTTTTTTTCATGTTTTGTTCTTTTCCCATCTTCAGGCCTTAGTCAGGATGTGTAATTGTCATTGTGTTCATTATTCAAATTTCTCAGCCAAGAACAATGCATTTAGTTGGACAATGAAATGTTCATGCATTGTAAATGTTGTGTTAAAAATGACTACTCCATATACATGATATATATCACCAACAGTTTTGCATTTTAATAGAAGTAAATCAAATTTTAATGTACACCCTGGTCCCAGCATTCCTTTCCTATTTCCCATCATTCCGTCTTGTAGTTCCATGATCTCATGATTCCTCAAGTCCTCTCCCCTATCCATGCTCTCTTGCAGCTCAATCAAGTTTTCCTCTGCAATTCTTTCATCAAAATCGTCCATGTTTTGAGAATCATTTCTGGATCTGTCATAGCGGGAATCTCTTTCATCTCTATCACCATCTTGATCATCTCTGTCCCTACCAGGTAATCCTCTCTTATCACTCTGAAAGTCTGATAAAAATAAATTGAAGACAAACTTTAAAAACATAAACAATAGAATAGAAAATGGAAGGAGGAAATGTGTCAAAGGGACAACAACTCAAACAAAGAGCAGACAATAGACCAAGGCCACCAATGGGTCTTCAACATAATTAGAAAATCCCGCACCCTGAGGTGGGCTTCAGCTGTCCTCTTAACATTTATGTATACTAGTTCAGAATAATGAATTTAAAAATGGAAAAGAATGCATATGCTTAAATTTCTCGTCTGCTTTACTGACAATGATTGATTTAATGTTGAAATTCTTAACGATAAAGGTTTAACAGCAAGTATCATATAAACTTACATTGTGTCATAGATCAAATTTATTCTTTCAGTGTATGTTCACTTGTTTTTGTTAATATGTCTTTTGATTGAGTTAAGCCATTTCAATTGATATTTTATAGTGTGTCTTTCTATGTTGTGATGTTACACTATTGTTTCAGGTTGGATGAAGGTTTGCGCCTATTAAAACATTTAAACCCGCTGCATTTGTTTGCACCTTTCCTAAGTCAGGAACCTGATATTCAGAGGTTGTTGTTTGTTGATGTGGTTCATGAGTGTTTCTCGTTTCTCATTTTTATATAGATTAGAATTTTGGTTTTCCTGTTTGAATGGTTTTACACTAGTCATTTTTGGGGCCCGTTATAGCTTGCTGTTCGGTGTGAGCCAAGGGTTCGTGTTGAAGGCCGTACTTTGACCTATAATAGTTTACTTTTACAAATTGTGACTAGGATGGAGAGTTGTCTCATTGGCACTTATACCACATCTTCTTATATCTATTAACTTAAACAATGATCCCTGAGAATGAGGTCAAGGTCAAATAAGTCATGCCAGATAGAAATGAACCTCTTGCAATCATTGCATACACCAAGTAAAGTTGATCTTTTATTTATAGTAACCAAGAAAAATAACAATGGAAATGAGGCATGGTCAGGTGATACTGTGGATTCATTTTTATTCGTGGTATACCAATTTTCGTGGGTTTCGTGGGTCACAGCAAACCACGAATTTAAGAATTCAACAAAGAATAATCCCGAGAAATGTGTATGGAGTCGGAGGTTTATTTCCGGTTATGTTTTGCAGTACTAGTATAGTGTTGACTAGCGATAAACATTGTAACATAACACGTGTTTTTATTGAAAGAAGATACAAGTATTTTGATTAAATCAATAATAAATATATCGAATATCAGAGATAATTTACTTTTTAAAATTGAATGAAACTGTTCATGGAAAATAACTGCAAGTTGTTAATTACCGTGTCATAGTGTGGTTTACTGATGATTAAAAATCAATAGGATTAAGTACGTGGATATTGCCCGTAGGTAATATTGTTTATGACAGGAAGATTTATTTTCACACCTTTTACTTATATGACTGTTTATTATATCGTGATTAGGGAAACGAGCTTTCAATCATAGAGTTTTGAATGCCTTATTAAATGCCGACAAGAATTTATAAATTGTAAAACAAACAAGTAATTAGTTGTCTCTGTCCATTATTGTGATAGAAGTTTTCAATGAACACTTTAACCTTGAATGACCAAGCGTGGATTTTGACGATTCAAAACTTTTTCAATGAATTCCTTCTTTTTTGTTTGTTTTGTTATTGATCAAACCAAGGAGGGTATATGATCTCCTAAATCAAAAAGAAATCCACGAATTACGTATCTGATTTTTTTTTTCCTTTTTGTAATCAGCGATCCACGAATTTACGTATACCACGAAACGTCTTTTTTTTCTCTATCCACGAAAATTGATACCCACGAAAAAATGAATGAATCCACAGTACATGCCAGACAGACATATACATCAAAAATGATTATGTGCCTCAAATAAAGTTGACTTATTGCTTATATTTATGTAATATTAATGAAACAGACTTAACCACCTAAAAACCTTACATTGACCAATGAAACATGGAAAAAGATATCAAGGTCAGATGACCCTGCCAGACATACATATACATCTTACAATCAATGTATAAACCAAATATAATTGACCTTTCACTTATAGTATCTCAGAAGAGGACTAAACTACATAAACAATTACCAATTACGGAAATGAGGTCAAGGACAGATAATACCTGCCAGACATACTTGTACACTAAAAATTATTCCATACACCAAATATATAGTTGATCTTTTGCTTATAGTATTTGAAAAACAAACCACAACACATAAACTAAACATTGACCAATGAAACATGGAAATGAAGTCAAGGTCAGATGAAACCTGCTAGACTGACAAGTACACCTTACAATCATTCCCAGACCCTTATTGGTAGTCAAGGTAGTTAAACATCCATAGAAGTAGATGCTACATGTAAATATTGCTGAAGCATTGATTTTTTTAAAGAGTTATTTTGATTTAATAGCAATGGGTTGATACCACTGCTGGTAGACTTCAGGTTCAGAGGGTATCATTAGCTTAGTGGTCAGTGCTTGGGTTCTGACAAGATTTTTAACATACTGCTATCAAAATGAAATTCTCTGTTGATAAATTCAGAAATTAGTTAGAAACTAAGGTTCCAATTCCCTCAGGCAAAGCTTAGATGAATTTGGCTATTCATTTTAGGTGCCTTGTAAAGTTAAAAATTAGTAGGCTATTTAGACATCTTATCTTTTCCTTTCAAATGTTTGGATTTGAGCTTTTCTGATGAAGGTAATTCCAGAAAAAGTGTTATAACCAACAAACTTAAAAGTGTTCTTTTCATTCATTATAAAATAAAAAAAGTATTCAAATATGTATGTAAAATTAGTTGTACGTTTTATCTGTTTTTTTTTGTTTGTATGTACAGATAAAATGTACATACAAACATTCTTGAAAATTTGATCAAATGTTACACATATTTTTTCATACAATTATGGTCATTTTTTGAGGACCTGAAAATTGAAGGCATTAGGAACCTGTTTCAACTTTTGTATAGCATTCATTGCATGAAATTGTATTCCAGTTTCATTTAAAAAAACATTTAATAACGAATTTTGTCATGCAAAGCCATATTATTTCAATTAACTTAAATTGACATTTACTCTATGTGTATGACTTAACCCCGTACCATAAAGTTAATTATAAAAGCCCCCCACCCCAGACTTCATGACGAAATACATGTATGATACAAATAAATCAGTTAAACCCCACCTAACCCCTTTTTTGTGAGCCAAGGGTTAATGACCTTTTTCAATAAAAATTATGTAAAATCATATAGTAAATTTTATTTATGACTACTTATAAAATAATACTTACATAGAACTAACATTTTTGTCATTTTTCTTTTTTTCCTCTGTTCTTTCCATTTAAAAACTTTACCTTATTCACACAAAATTAAAGTCAAATTGCAAATGATCTACTTAAATTCTGGTAGGAAGAAAATTTTAATGGCTAATCAATAATTTTTATCAATACAAGTTATCAGACTATCAATCAAGTGAAAAAAGGCATACTAGTGGTGTGACCAAGTACATAACTGGTTTTGACTATTGGCCATGGACTGATTTCCTTCACAAACTCTGAGATCTTTGGACTTAAGGATGTTCGCTCCTCTTCTTTTTGAATTTTTGTCAAATATTCATAATTCTCTGGTTTTATCCATGTATTGCCATTAAAAATTTAAAAAACGTGTTATGTTGAAAAAGAGTAGGGAACATTCTCAAGTCCAGTTATTAGTTTCCTGTTTCTTGAATTCTAACCTTTATTTCTTCCTTGTCTAAGCTGTTTTCTATGTCTGTCACCCTCTTCATCCTTCAAAGTTTCCAAATTAAAATCTTCTGCTGGTTTAACAGAGGGTAATTCCAGGAGACTTGGCAAAGGCGCTTTGGGTTTTTCTGCATGAATTAAAAAAAAATAAAAATCAGTAATGAATGCTACTATAAATTATATTTCCTAAATATTGCCATATACAAGATGTAATGTTAGCTACTACGAACTAATATATACCCTGCTCTTGCTTTTGATTGAAAGGAAATGCTATACTGTAAGTTCAGAAATTATTGCGTTCATATATTATTGAGACTTTTGAAGAATGAACATAATGCGAGTTTAATTATTGCCATCTTAGGAAAAGCTACATACAGATATATGCACCAGATATCAGAATGTTCTTATTATAGCAATACTCAAGGAGTCGAATTATTCGCATTAATAAAAACCTCGCAATAATTTCTGAACTTACAATTACTGAAGGAAGTGGAAACAGACGACAGCAAGTAGATAAGCACACAGTTTACCATACCAATATTTAACTTGGTACCAACTTTCAAGCAACATTTCATTGTTGGTGAGAAAAATGCAACATATTTGAGAAAAACATAACGAAAATTTCTTATACATACATCAGTGTAAATAACACACACGAATGAAGCAAACCGCAAGTTGATAAGTGACGGATCTGAAAATGGGTAACACATTATTCTTTACCAATATAAAGCTTGTACTACATATTAAGAAGCTTACTAAGAATGTAGTTAATGGAGACAGAGGTCGAGTAGAATACCAAATGCTATAGAAGGGGAGAATAAAAATTACAATCACAATGCATCTTGTTACTTTATTTTCCCAATCAAAAATATATTTTTCCAATGATATAAAACTTGCATTTGGTACTCTTGGACTTATAGAGTACAAAATTGACTAATTGGGACATTTTGACTGCCAATGGAAAAGAATGCATGCTGACTATGCGGTATGGGTTTTGCTCATTGTTGAAGGCTGAATGGTGACTTATAGTTGTTTACTTCTATGTAATTTGGTCTCTGGCAATCATATCACATTCTCTTATTTTTATATTATATGTTGGATAAGGCAGATGTTTTGTCAAGTAACAGCTTAATTACAGACTAATCAAAGAATGGTTGTAAGGGTTCTTAATATATAAAAAAGCATGTCACTGTTCCAACACAGGCATCATATCAACCATCCCTATACCACTTAGAATGTTATTGCATATTTAAATCCAAGTGAACACCCCTAAGCATTGGTCTTAGGACAGGACAACCTTTCTACTAGATACCCTTAGGATCATTTAGCCCTAATTTGCTTGAAATTGGTCCATTAGTCAGACGAGAGGATTTTTTAAAACATTAACAATGAAGGGTGATGATAATGGACTCCATGTGGCAAAAGCTAAACATGGCCCATAGCCAAGAAAGCTAATAAAACATTGAAAATTGTCCTTCCTTTAAAATTCTGACCATAGAACTGCCAAAATGAAACAAAATTTTCTTTTTTAATGAAATTGGTTTTGAAATAACACAATTAAAAATTTAGAATAAGGTCAAACAAAAGAATATGAATGGGTTTCCTTATTTAAACAAATAAGGAAGGTATAGGTAGGATATTTCTTTTGGTGCTATATTCTCTATATTCTCTAAGGACTATTCCAATTAAATGGATGTGGAAGGTAGGGAAAGGACTTTCAAATTCCTTATACAACCAACACACTTTGGGGTTAGTTCACATATATCAAATGGACATAAATGATCAATGTCCAAAAAATAGAACTTTTTCTTACCCTCCCCTGTCAATTTTAATGGAAAAGACCTAACTGTTTTCATCACCCTTACCATCTACTTTTTCCCCAGATATTGCTGGTGGCTGTTTATTACTTCTCCACGCATGGACGAAGTCTCTGTCGATGGGTCGAGAGTACGGTATCTTGCGTCTCTGATTCTGCTCTCTATGACTATCCTTTAAGAATTGAGCATCTGTTTTGCAGTCTAAACCTGGTATTGAAATGTCTTCTTCTGACTTATCTGTAATAAAAAAGCAAATTAACAATTAACATTCAATCAGGACTTAAAAATAAGAAATTACTGTGAGGTATTTTTTAATGCGAATAATGCAACTGGGTATGTATCACAACAATAAGAACATTTTGATATCTTATACATATATCTATATGAAGATTTTTCTAACATCGCAATAATTAATCTCATGCTTTTGTCCATTCTTTAACATCGCAATAATAAATGCACGCAGCATTTTTTTTTAATTGACAGTAGACATATTATTCATGTGCCGGACTCAAGTCAGCAGCCTGTATATATTTGCTGTCATTGGTTCACGTCTGTCCTATATTTTTTTCATCAATTGTATTGTATTAATTAGGCTGTAAGTTTTGTTGTTTGAATTGTTTCACATTTTCACATGTCAGAGCCTTTTATAGCTAACTATACAGTATGAGTTTTTCTTATTTAATGGTTTTACAATGACCTATAATTGCTTTTATCGAACTCTGGTGGATAGTTGCCTCATTTGGCAATCTTACAACATCTCCTTATTCTTATATAACAGAAAATACCAGTAAAAATCTTTGTTGGGAGGTTTAATGATTTTGTTGTCATTACTTCTAAATACCTCCACACTTAATGAAGTTAAGAGGCAATTTTAGGCCTGCTCTATGCCACTGGCACGTAGCCATTGTGAAAGGTGTGTGGTGACCTATAGATATTCATATTTGGTAACCTTGTGTGTTTGTTTTGCAGTCTTAATTTTCAAATAGATTGATTGAAATACAATTCGTAAAGTCACATGTTAATTGACCTCATTAGTACACAGTCAACAATTAAGGGCTACAAAAAAATCAAAAATCTATAATCCTGGTATATATGCATTTCTTGTCTTGTAAGATTTATAATTTGTACATATTTTTGTATAAGTTCTCATTAATTTGACACCCACCATCATTAACCAGCTTGCGGTTTGACTCACAAATGTATATACTTCAACCTAACATTAAGCACTGTCGTTTTTGGCATAAAGCTGCCAATGAGGACGGTAGATTGGGTTAGATTATATTACATTTTTTTACTTGTACCAAAACATCATGACAATTAGTCTCCAATAATTGCATTTCTGTTTAAAGGTATTATTTTCACACTTTTCTACTGATAGAAACTCTCAAAATACAGAAATTTAATACACTCCATGCTTTTGTTTCAAAAAAAGTCTTACAACAAAAATTACTCGTAAGTAATCAACAATGCAGAATATTTACGATCAATTTTAGAAGTGAGATTTTTTTTGTAAACGCAGGCAAGTATTTGAGGTTAAGAACTTATGCAAGTGCATATATACATGTACATGTATAAGACTTTTGAGTGATTTTGGAATATTCAAATATGAAATAAAAGATGAATTTTTGTCTGTTTTGTAGGGTTCTAATAACAACTCAATTTTCAAACAGTTACATACTTTGCATAGCAATTTTTCAACCTGAAAAAGTTAACAGATGTATTAAAAAGTAAAATAACAAAAATACAGAGCTCCAAGGAAAATTAAAATCAGAAAGTCCCTTATCAAATCACAAAATCAAAAGCTCAGACACATCAAACAAATGGAAAACAACAGTCATATTCCTGACTTGCATAAGGTCTATTTCTATCCGACGCAGCTCAGTTTATACAACAAGACTAACCTTCCATGTTGTTGAAATCTTCCGTTGATCCCTCGTTCACACCAGGTATAGTAGACACAGCTGTCACTATTGGGTTTGTGTTGTCTAAATCTACAAAATAACGTAAATAAACTCATCAGATACCAGGCTAAAAAAATGTGCACACCAGACCTGCTTTTCGTCTACAAAAGACTCATCAGTGACACTTGAATCAAAAAAGTTGAAAGGTCTAATAAAGTACAAAGTTGACGAGCATTAAGGACATAAAATTCCAAAAGGTTTTGCAAAATACAACTAAAGTAATCTCTTCCTGATACCTTTCTTTTCTTATACATTGTAGTACATGTATGTGTGTTTTGCTCAAAACAATGAAAATTAAGAAGAGAATGTTGGTAAATTGTTTTATATTTGTCATTTCAGGGCCTTTTATACTGCAGCTTGCGATGCGGTATAAGTTTTCTCATTGTTGAGGACCGTACGGTGACCTTTAGTTGCTAACTTCTTCATCATTCAGTCTCTGGGAAAAGTTGTCTCACTGGCAATCATACCACATCTTCTTATTTTTATATACACCTTACATACAATCTACAAATCTTTCATAACCACAAGTTCTTCAAAGCTGTACATATCTTTTATCAGTTCATGAGTTTTCAGACTTACGTTGTATGATCATTAGACCCAGAAGGTAATATATGACCAAGTGGATGGCATGCCAAACTCCAGACCATGCCTTCATGGGCCATCTCCATTCCACCTAATTCTCTGTCTGTTCTGTAAGGAAAACATTAAAATATTTTTAAATATTCCATGCTTTTTACAGATGTAAATAAAATTACAAGAATATTAATGAGACAACAACTGAATAACACAATAAACTAAAATAGGCTATTAAGCAGGTCAACATATGGTCTACAACATTAAAGTCAATTTCCCAGCATTAACAGTGATTCTTTATGTGTCCACACCATATCCCCTGCTTGCACTACTATACATTTATATGTCCAGTAAATTGTTAAAATGAGGTCAAAATTCTTATTTGAAAAATAATTCTAAAAGATCACATTATAATGAACATGCTTACTAAATTTCAAGTTGATATGAGCACAACTACCTTAAACAAAAACTTAAAACTGAAAATGTACTGGTTTCTCACTATCCAAATTCATGTTCAATGAAATGTAAAATCAGGGTAAAAACTGTAATTTGCCACATTGTTTTTATTAAAATGCACATCATAGTGATCATATGTACAAAGTTTCAAGCTGATGTGACCAAAACGTCATGGTAATCAAGCTTAACCAATTACTTTAACCAGAGAATGTACTGGTTTCACACTATCACAATACCATGTCCAGTAGCCATGAAATCGGACCAAAACCCCTTAATTGACATAATATTTTAAAAGTTCACATCATAATAACACATGTTCTATATTCTGTATGTGCCTGTCCCAAGTCAGGAGCCTGTAATTCAGTGGTTGTCGTTTGTTGCTTTATATCATATTTGTTTTTCGTTCATTATTTTGTACATAAATCTACTCATTATTGAAGGCTGTTCGGTGACCTAACGTTGTTAATTTCTGTGTCATTTGGTCTCTTGGGGAGAGTTGTCTCATTGGCAATCATACCACATCTTCTTATTTTTATAAGTTACAAGTTGATGTGACCACAACTTTATTGTAAATAACCATAATAAACCTAAAACAGGATGAACGGAATAACAAACAGATGCACAGACCAAAAAACGTAAGGCCCTTCTACTATTGTAGGTTGGGCATAAAAACATCAATCTTCTTAAGGTTGCAGTTTGATTTTTTAAAAATACGCTCATCATATATAAAAGCTTCAATTACAAACCGGTATCTTTAATTTCAAAATTTTGCTAGTCAATCATTCTAACAAACCAATCTGTACTCAAAACTGCATTGATGTCTTAAAAGATTGGTCATGATGACCTTTTAAGAATTCTCTCTGACAGATATTGAATATTGAAATAGAAATTTGAGTTATATTCAAGAAATCAAATATTGTCACTTTCATTTAAATAAAGGCTGTCCCCAAATTCATGTGGAGGGGGGATGGAGGCACTAACATTAATTAAACATGGGTGGTTGCAACTTCCTTATATTTTTTATAAATTGTAAGTAAGTTGAAAATGTTTCCTTGAATGGTGTAAGGGCCCCTTACTAAGGGGTCCTTAAAAAGTCCCTCTCTTGAACCCCTATGTTTAATTTTGGACTATATGTAACACAAAAAGGGGGATATATTAGGTCACAATTCCAACTATTGTGCAGAATCAACTTGCTACCATCAAATATATGACTGACTAATAATCAAACGATGTTTCTTTTATTCTGGGTATACTCCTCAAGACTACTTATTTATTTTTTTAATTTACCATACCAGTAGCTTCTTTTTTATGTCCTTTAAATGTCTGGACTTTCTCCTTCATGTTACGTATGTCAAACAGTTTAATGAGATGATCACGTGACGCTGTCAGTAACCAGTTACCATTCTTTATCCACTGGAGTTGCATTACTGTCATTTTATGAGCATGCCTAAAAAACAATAAGAAAAATCTCTAAAGTCTGATTTCCACATCTCCCCGATGTAGCCTCTTTTGCGCGAATGTGGTGTAAAGCAAATATCAATCATTAATCTGTTCCCACAAATCAGGCTGTGGATTTGATTGTTTTATTTTGTCTTGTTCAGATCTCTCATAGCTTACAACAAGATATGGGTTTTGTTTATCTCTGAGGGCTGTATCGTGACCTTAAGTTCATTAAATTCCCATCATTTAGTCTCTGTTCATGCTGGTGGTTATTTGTCTCATTGGCAATCATAAAAATAAGAGATGTGCTATTCCTCTCATTGGCAATAATAAAAATAAGAGATGTTGCTATTCATCTCCAAAATTTTATAAAGTCTTTATAATTGCATTTGTTTTTCACACAATTATTGACCTTCACTGCTTGCTTTCATGATTGGGTGTGATAAAAAAAAATCAAGTTCTACAGTAATAGTCATGGACAATTTCTGGAGGCTGTTAAAAGCATTGCCCCTTTTTTACCAACAATATAGTCACTTCATATAATAATGCCAGACACTATCCAAATATACCTATCATAATTTCTTTCCAGACAATAGATTGATCATGTTGATAAATTTATTGTCTCTGTTAGCCAAACATAAAGCATTAATTACAATTTTGCCAGACACAACTAATTTTAGCCTATCATTACATCCATTTCCCCTCTACTGTAACTTAAATTTTGGCTATACACTGTCTATAGTTCAGGCTTAATTGAAATCTAAACTTTACTTTATAAACTAACATTGTCCAGATTGGCCCAAATTATAATATTTACTTACAATGTAGCTAGGCAGGATCCAGTTTTAGCATCCCATAGTTTCAATGGTTGCTGGTTATCTTTACTTCTTCCTGAGGCTATCAGACTTTTCAGTGGATGCCAGCCAACACATTTCAAATCAGCACCATGTCCTGGTTAATTCACAAAAACAATTTGGCTCAGATTCAGACCACAATACATGAGTATCTGCATTTTATGTATAACAATTCATTGACACACATGAAATCAGTGGGGGTTTGGAGAGTTCATCAGAAAACAAAAAAATGCTATTAATCAAGTAGAGCTTCAGATTGGAGTTTGACTATTTAACTGAGAGAGTTATGACCACAAGTAACCCCATCAGAGTCATTCTAGCTACAGGCCTGATTGGTCCTTTGTTCAACATCAAGTGGCAAATATTTCAAACATATTCATACCGGGAGCCATATATTTAGGTTGCAAGAAGTGGGCACATTGGATGGTGTCTGGAAATTACTTCCCCCTACTTAAAAATGAGGGGTTGTTATTAAGGGTCAGAAACTTGACCCTTTAATTAACCACTTAAAGACCACTTCAACTGAATGATTACAAAGCCTAAACACCTTCTGGGAAATATTTATATTATGGACAAAGATCAATTTAAACAAAGCATCATAAAGGCACTACTCTACTACAGAATATAATACTCGAGGGGGCCACTTTCTATATACAAAGTATATAGGTCACATTTTCCAGCTTGAAAATATGTGAATACGTGGGGAAAACTATAAGAAATATGTGACAAGGTCAATAAAGTTTTCATAACTTGTTATATGAAAAGCCCTGTAACTTTCTTGGTATTATGGGCCTTATGGCTGTGTTTTTATCCACAAATTTCCTCTCTTTTGACACTTTGGTATTCCATTTTTCCAACACACAACACGAAACCCAACCAATATGGGAAAAGGTTACATTTTACCAACGCAATATATGAAAAGGTATACATTTTTAAAATCTAAATTATATTAAAGGTGTGGGGTAAGAGAACCCCAGCAACACCCCCTATCAATTAAGTATTGGAGTGCCCCAACCTCCACCCCCCCGAGATTCCATGTGACATTATTTCTATGTCTCAGTCCACACTTGACAAAATGCTTGAGATGAAACCCCTTGAAGAGATTTTGCAGGGGTTATTTGACATACAGATTTTTTCGAAAAACAGCATGCCACAATCCAACAGTACAGGACTTTTAGCTATCCACTTATGTGATAAGACAGAAGAAATGAGAACTTTTTAAGATATATCATGCAATTCATTGAAAAGGTCACACATTAGACTGTTAAGTATCAACCTAAACAAACAAACAAGTAAACCCCCTCCTCCAGAAATGGCAGAGACTTTGATCTGCTTTAGGGAAACCTCAATAACTATAATTGAGATCAGCAGATAAAATAGAGTCGCACAATGGCATTATATGGTTAAGATTCTTAGACAGTTCAATGAATTTTGATAATTATATATCAGGGTTTGCATTAGATAATTATATAAGAGGAGTTGCATTTGTCAATACTGTAAATTCAGAAATTATTGTGTGCATTCATTATTGCGATTTTTTAAGGAATGGAAAAAAATGGGAGATTAATTATTGCGATTTCAGGAAAATGTACATACAGATGTATGTATGTTTCCGATATCAAAATGAGAGTTCTTATTATTGCAATACACACACAGTTGCATTATTCGCATTAATAAAAACCTCGCAATACTTTTTGAATTTACAGTACTTTTTATAAAGATAAAGCAAACTTTAAACTGAAGCGGGACAGACGGACAGACGGACGGACGGACCAACGGATGCACAGACCAAAAAACATAATGCCCTTAGGTTGGGAATAAAAAACTAGATATAAGAAGATGTGGTATGAGTGCCAATGAGACAACTCTCCATCTAAGTCAAAATTTATAAAAGTAAACCATTATAGGTCACAGTACGGTCTAGCATTCTTGAAGAATTATTATTATAGGGCAACGATTTTAATAAGCAGTGAATTAACGATTTTGGTCATGTGACCTTATTGTAGAACCTTAATTGCTGATCTTTTTTGCTCTTCACTAGATATTTAATTTCATGGATCTTGGTTGCATACTATAAAATGAGTTGAACACACAAAATGTGTACTGTCTTTTATGAAATTGCTCAAAGAGTACTCTAAGTTCCCAACTTCAGAAAAATGAGGTGAAATTCCTCAAACAGTTCCATAATAGCAGGTGCACATCTGCAATATGTGTGAAGTTTCATTGGTATGGGTTATAAACTGAAGGAGTTTATTAACTATATTGGAACTGTCTTTTTGGAAATTTGCTGACAAATGACAAGTTCCCAAGTCTGGAATATGGGAACTAATTCCTAAAACAATTCCATAATATATCAGGTGCCCAAATAGGCAAATTTCAATATGTGCGATCTTTCTGTGGAGTTTCAAGGATCTGGGTTGAAAACTTTAGGACTTCTTGATTAAAAAAAATAGGCACCCTCTTTCCACACCCGCCAATACACTTGCTATCACAAATAATAACAAAAAATGATAAAAGTCAGTTTTGCACATATACCAGCCAAAAAAGCAAAAATGGGTAAATGTTGTGATTTGTGGCATACTTAAAGGAGTCAATTAATCATTTTCAAGCATTCCACCTTTTGAAGATCATGTACTGTTGATCATTTAAGCTGTTTACGGAAACTCTCAGAAAATCTGATGCAAAAATACAATAAACAGCTGCGCCACGAGCGCATGATACGCCCGTCGTCTTGTGTGTGAGGTTTTATGCAATTATCATAAATCGTTTCTGAGATACGGCGCGACATGTGAAACCCCCTTTTTTTTTATAAAAAAATCAATAACTCTAAAATAATATTTTGAATCATCACCAAAAAGTATACAGATCTTTAGATTAATATAATTAAGAAGTGTGTAAAGTTTTAAGCAATAATCATAAATCGTTTTTGAGATGCGGCGCGACATGTGACCCCCCCCCCCCCCTTTTTTTTTTTACAAAAAACTCAATAACTCTAAAACAAAATTTTGAATCATCACCAAAAAGTATACAGATCTTTAGATTAATATAATTAAGAAGTGTGTACAGTTTTAAGGAATAATCATAAATCGTTTCTGAGATACGGCGCGACATGTGAAAACCCCCCTTTTTTATAAAAAAATCAATAACTCTAAATTAAAATTTTGAATCATCACGAAAAAGTATACAGATCTTTAGATTAATATAATTAAGAAGTGTGAACAGTTTTAAGCAATAATCATAAATCGTTTCTGAGATACGGCGCGACATGTGAAAACCCCCCTTTTTTATAAAAAAATCAATAACTCTAAAATAAAATTTTGAATCATCACCAAAAAGTATACAGATCTTTAGATTAATATAATTAAGAAGTGTGTAAAGTTTTAAGCAATAATCATAAATCGTTTTTGAGATACAGCGCGACATGTGAACCCCCCCCCCCCCCACCCCTGTTTAAGTCCCGTAACTCAAAAGGTTTTCATCTTATTTTCACCAAAAAGTATACAGATCGTTTGACCATCATAAGATACAACTATGTTAAGTTTCATGAAATTTGGATAAGTCGTTCTCAAGTTACGGTGCGACATGTGGACGCTGGACAGACGGACAGACAGACAGACGGACGGATGCCGGACATTTGTATACCATAATATGTCCCGTCAAAATTTTGGGCAGAAATAAACTAGTCTTTTGAGATCTCAACAAGTGAATAATCAACATAACTTCCGCCCAATACTATCATCGATATAATACTGAAGTAAGTAAATTTGATTTATTCCCTTTTCACAATTTGGACCAGAATTATATTCCTTTATACACATCCTAGGGTAATGTTTGGAAGAGTTGCTGTTGCAATTACAAGGCAAATGGACAGATGGACAGTGTGATTTTTAAATACCCCTTAGCCCCTCAAAAAACAAAAAAACAAAATACTATGTATAATAAACATTAATTTTCTGTTTTTTTTCATATATCTTAATAGTGTTTTGGTTGCTAAGTTAGATGACATATATAAATAACCAATGTTCATAAAGTTTTTTAAGGGACCACATATGTATCATTCCCTATATGAAATGATGGTAGATTTTTACCGATTGATTTTTCTTCGAGAAACAATGGCAGGTACATTTAATAGGGTTTAGGATCATTGATTATAATTATGAGGGTCTGGATTGGGTTTAGAGAATAGAGAATAATAGGCAAAAAGTGCAGAATAAAGGGTAAAAATAAAAAAATAGTGAGAGAACAATGGGGTGTTAAATATAAAGAATAAGGGATAAGGGTCAAAATAGATGAAGAAAAGAAAAATGGTCTAAAAATTTAAAGAATAAAGAAATGAAGAACCCCCAGTCCAGAGCCCCAATTAAGCATGTGAATCATATATAAGCAATTTAATAGATATGTTTTATTAACATCGATTTTATTAACAGCAGATAATATTGGTATATAAATTAATTGGTTCGGAACACCCACACAGACCATTCAGACCAAGTTTTAAAATCTATTTATTCGTCTCAAGACAAGATGTTTGAATCAATAGTCCAAATCTCATAGCATTTCAATGTAAATTTGACCTCCATTTGTAGCATTTCAAATTTTTTAAAGTAATTACACTTGTATCAATTGGTTTATAGTTGCTTGAAAAGAACATCTTTAAAATTGGATCAATTCAATGGACCCAAATGTTTGGCCCCTTGATATCATATTGGTTGTGCCATCAGGACTAAATTTAAGTTACAACACTTGGTAAGTATCATTTAAAGAACATTTTTGAATATTTCGTTGTCATTTTGTGTGCTCTGTTCTTCAAAAGAAAACCCAAATAAATTTTCCCATAGGGTTTCAATATAATCTTCGACCTTAGTTAGTGGCCATTTTGAATTTCTAATCAGCATCAATGTAACAAAGCTTTTTAAGGATCTGCAGAAGAACATATTGGCAAGTTTTGTTTCAGTTGGTTCAGCAGTTCTTGAAAAGAAAATCTTTGAAATTGGACCTAATAAAACCTGTTTTTGGCTGCTTAATTCATATTGAACTTTATAAGGATGTTATTTATGTTTTCAAAAAATTTTCACCTCGAACTGCATAGATTTAAATGTGATTGGCAAAAAAAAATTGTGTTCAGCAGAAGCTGAGAAAAGTGAAAAAAATGTATGTCGAATGAACAAACAAGCAGCTACAGGGACTGCCAACCAAGGTGAATGCAATAAAGCCCCCTCCTAAAGTGGGGATATCATACAGTATGTATCAACAGTGCCCCCTTGCTCTATCACTTTATAATTGAATTGTGAATTATGAGTCAAAGGTTCAAAACCCTAATGTGGCATATATTTTCATAAGTTCACATCTTAATATACTATTAAAATTTCAAGTTGATTTGACCATGACTAATGGTCAACAACAACCGAAATCCAAAATGTTATTGTATTTAATCTGATTTATATTAAAAAAGACTAACAGACAGATGCACTGGAAAACATAATGCCCCTTAGCTCTAACTATCATTGTAAAGGCGTAAAATATCAACTTTTATAAATATGTAGTGTCAAACAGTTAATTTCTATGCTACCATCAAAATTGCTTTTTTTTTTAAATTAGTGAAACATTTAAATAGGATAAATAAATGAAGAATGTGTCCATGGTACACTGATGCCCCCACTGAAAAATATACGGGAAATTCTGCTATTTGCAATTTACAAAGGACATAATTCAAGAACAGTGAAAGTGACACCACTCAAATTCAAACTTGATCTCTGTTTAGTAGTTATAAGCATTGTGTATAAGTTTTATAACATTTGGTTGAAGCAAACTAAAGTATGTGTGGAAACAGCTAATTTTGCAATTTTTCCATTTATAAATGGACAAACTCCAAGACCGTGAAAGTGATCCCACCCAATTTCAACTATGATCTGTGTTTGGTGGTAATCAGCATTGTGTAAAAGTTTTATAACATTTGGTTGAGGCAAACTAAAGTATGTGTGGAAACAGCTAATTTTGCAATTTTTCCATTTATAAATGGACAAACTCCAAGACCGTGAAAGTGATCCCACCCAAATTCAACCATGATCTGTGTTCGAGGTAATTAGCATTGTGTAAAAGTTTTATAACATTTGGTTAAAGCAAACTCAAATTAGAGAACGGAAACCAATTTTGGGAAAAATGTACGGACGTACAGACAGATAAGGGTAAAACTTAATGCTCCGGGGGGGGGGCATAAAAAATAATCTCTGGATCAAAGCTTGCTATGAACCCTTGTGCTATTTGAGCAAGGACAGAAGTTTTGAAAAGAAATACATACCTCTTAAAATCTTTTCTTCTTGGCATTTCTGGAAATCCCAGATTCGTACAGTATCATCGTCAGAACAAGTCGTAAATTTATTGTCAGATAGAGAAAAACTGTAGAGGAAGAGGAAAAAACAATGTGCATGGTTATATTATTGTTTAAGAATCATCCATGGTAGAAACTTTATGGCAAATTCATCATCAACTACCAGAGAAAAAGAAATAATGAGATTATTGTACAGTAAACTGCTAACATTTAATTGAACGGAATTCTCGTTCAAGAGATCAACATCAGAAATAAATAGACCACACAGAAACAAAACTGATCCTTAAAAAATATGCCTGCAACTTTTACAAGTAATTTATTGATATGAGTACAGTAGAAAAGGTACTTAAAAAAAATTGGTAAACCATCACAATAATTCTTTTCTATGCGTTCCTTTTTTTTTATTCTTTACTCCCATCTCTGTTCATACATTTCTCGTGACCCAAGAAAATAGATTTAGTTGATTATATGTGTAGAGTACTTTTGTTTCAATGATTTCCCTGCACTTTTAGTTTGACGAGTGTTGAATGCTGGTTTTCACCCCCGTTGTATTTATTATCTTTTCTGTTTTCACTGAATTTCTTTTTTTTCTAGTTGGTGTAATAAAGAAAATTTTGCACAGTATTCCATTGTCCTGAATTTTGTTCCATCTCTAACTTTTGAAGTGTATATTTGTAGGATTCAAGGGATACTTTTGTTCGTAGATTTCATGTAAAAGGGTCAATCACAAATTTAAGAGCTAATCAAAATACAAATTTCTGTTGGTTTTTATAAAATCATGGAATCAAGTATCCATGAAAAAACAAATGTTCATCAATTCACAAAACTAATTGAATTCACAGTAAACAAAGTGATACAGAGATTTTTTGTAATAAGACTAACCAGTTTGACTATTTTTTTTCAAATGTAAATAAGGGCTATTCCATTAAAATGTATGTGGGAGGGTAGGAAGGGAAGTTTAATTATTGAATGTGGGTCATGAGTCTTTTTTTCAGTATGCGTCTCTATTACCATTATGCAAAATTATCTAAAACATGGTTCTTGGTTGTAGGGATATTTTGAAAGTTTCTTCCTACCCTCCCACATACATTTTAATGGAATAGCCCTAAATATAAACAAAGACCAATCGAATATTTTTTTCAGATCCCATGTTTGGATGCACATTGTGATTTTTTGTAAGCTTGTCTCTTAACTAATTCAAATAAACAAAATTCCTTTAAATGATCAGGAGGCAAAAATCCCAAGTGACACTGGTAATAACAATGTACACATATCATAGCATAGTGCTTTGATTGCTGTTCTTCATTTGGTAGTCAAATAAAATTACTGAATACACCTAAATATTCATAGTCAAAAAGACTAAAACTGTCCGTTTACTAAATTGATTTTAATTTCTTATTCAATGATGGATTCCCTAACAGACAGATCCCACACAATTTCAGGTTCATAACTGTAACCACATAATATTTTGATAACTTAGATGCATTTAAAAATACAACATTCTTCCACAAAATGAATTCAGAAAACAAAATGAAGAATAGCAATAAAAGCAGCAATAATTTCATCATACCATTGTCGGTCTCATATACATTTACGTTATCCCTTTTCCCTTATTGAATAATAATCATCTGCAACTATGTCATTCCTGTTCATTTGTGCAAAACTATTAAATTCTGCAAAGCAAGAATTGAAAGGCCCAATGAAAGAAACTATATGATGTAAGTACAAAAGTGTGTCAAGTTACCAACCAGGGGCGGGTCCAGGTGAGGGCGTAATGGGCGTACGCCCCCCCTCCCCTAAAAAAAAACAAAAAAAAACTATTGTAATCTGCTTATATTGTATTGAATATTGCAATTTATCATATTTCACACTTATTTTTTGTTTTTTTAGCAAAAAAAAGGTCCAAAAAATGTTTCGCCTCGCTAGAAACGCCCCTGCCAACATTCTATTGAATAACAGCCTCTTAATTAGAATTACTTGCTTACTTTGTTGAAGGCAGTACAGTGAACTGATAAATGGTTGCTGTGTAAACATACATAAGGAAAGTAATATTTATGTACTGCACAAAGAAACCTGTTCAGTTAATAAGACCAACTCTGTTCCCGAAGATTCCTACGACTAAAAATGATCATCAGTTTATAATTCATCATTTACAATTGATTTTTTTCATAAGACTTTTTGTATTGAAATGATGCCTACATTTATATGTAATTTCTAGTCCTTGTAAGCTAGCACTGGTGTCCTGGATATATTGTATTCAAAAACTTTCCGAGCCAACTAATTAAGTTGCTCAAGTTTTGAAGAAAATTTATTTTATCATGTATGTGCTGTGAATCTAACATACATGTATCAAAACCCTAATGTCACACTTGTAAGGACAATGTTGTCATTTCACATGGCACTCATATAATTTAAGCCTATGCAATTGTACACTCGTTTATGAATTCATCTGGATGCATGTCTTTCAAATGATTTGTAGTTTTAAATCTTTGTTTTGAAATGTGAAAGTGAAAGTGCATTTTTTTATTTGTACACAACCATCATGGCCACAAGAGCAATCTTAAACTTGAATTATAGGTACACGAGATGAGTAAAAACTTCAAAAATACATTGTCACTAACAAAATATTTTTCAAAACGCATTCTTAATTCATTGAATTAATTCATCAAAATATCTGGACAAATGTTTTAAATTCTCCCTGGTGTATGTGTGTGTGTGTGAAGGTGTGTTGTTCTATTATTTTTGTTTGTTTGTTTTCTGCTACTGGCCTTGTCTCTCTCTGAAATATTTCATATTTGTATTTTTTTATTGAGTAACCCCTACAAATCAAAATAAATACATGTATATGAGGGCTGCACCAAATCTCTTCTTCGCCTAAACCTAACACAATGGATCTCTTTCATGTCAGTCAGATCAGTTATTATACTCCTGCAGAAAGGCATTTTTGTAATTTTTTCTAACCATTAATAATTTTGATGTATGTTAAAGCATGGGATCTAACCGGATTTTGAGGACCAAAAAAAAAGGTTTGTGATTTTCAAATTTTTATTGAATAAGCCAAATCAAATACAGAATAAAAATTTAACAGAATTTTTGTTAATACACAATTTCAAATTTTACAAAATATACTTAAATGATAATTCAATGGGCTATATGTCTTTATTTTTTACACAATTCTACATTACAAACTCTAAATAAATAGGGCAGATGGGCTAAAAGCCTTTATTTTCTATGGGTAAACAGGGCAATATGCCTTTATTTTTCTGGGCAAACTGGGCAATACACCTTTATTTTATTATTACATGTACAAGCATGCAAAAAACTGAAGAAATGTGGGCAATGCCTTTATTTAGTCCCTACATACATGATTGTCTATAAATACTTGGGCTTCTGCCTTTATTTTCAAACTATTATACCTCCTTGTTAAGGGCTTGTGCCTTTATTTTGTGCATTTCTGATCTGACAAACTATTTGTCAATGTTCACATATTCATATTTAAACTGAACAACTGAACTCTTGCATATGAGATTTCTTCCAATTGTTACACTTGTATCCAGAGTTAACACTGGTAAATGTTTTATCAAATAGAAACAGATTTCAAAACTCGCCAAAGATTAAACAAATTCTAAGTGACTGCCTCCCCATAGAGTATTTCTTGTATTTTTGGCCGATTTTCTAGTAAAATATCAGATTTTATTTGAAACCCATATGCAAGAGTACAGCAAATCAACATGTCTGCGGACATTCTGTAATAATATAACGTAGAAACAATAATGGCTTCAATCCTAATCAAGAGGATGGTTGCCATGGTTACTTTACGTCCAAAATCCCGCCTGATCCCACGAACGGGCTCCTTATGTCCTTGAAACATCTTTACATTGTTCATATTGGACTGCCAATACTTGATAAATCCTGAATGATCTCCAGTTATCATCCAAGAATCATTGTTACTCCACACCATTGCTCGAACTGATGTATCATGGGCCTGAAATTTTTTTTTATATTTCCTTTCCATTATAATTCAGCTATATAGCACCATGTTATCACGGTGCTAAGTTATATATTTTACCATAGTGCTAACTTAATCTATTTTATAATAGAATTTAAATATAGTGTCAAATCTTTCATATGGATTTTTTTGTACAAAAACAAAATATGCAACATTTGCAGATATTTTTACTGGTCTTCCTTTATAAATATGCATTACAAAAGAAAATTTTCGATGAGTTAGAAATTTGCATCTTGATCGATATTGCATTCTTTACTTTCTCCTGAAAGTTTGGTACAAACTAGAGAGGTTCTGAGTAAAACGATATTTGCATGCAAGCCACGAGATATAAACAAGATGCCAGAACCGACTTTGTTTCCTTACTACAGGCATTTTGATATTCTGCTGTTAAGATAGATCAGGAGTTTTTTCTATGCATCCCTTCTGGGCATGTTTCAAAAATAATTTTTAAGTTTAAAGATAAGATTTAACTATCAAACAATAGGCTGTCAGAGTGACAGCAAACCGGATTTTCCTGCAGAGGTCAAACCCTGAACAGTTGAGCAAGTATGGACACTACATTTAAGCTTAAAACAGCTCTGAATTTGGATTGTGATTGAATATTTGACACAGCATAGGTTTGTGACACAAAATGAATGTGGTTTAAGAACTGAAATACTTGAAATTGGACATTTAAATACCTATTATGGTCCAATATCAAAAGTCTAAATACATATTAGAATCAGCATATCAAAGAACCTCAAGAATTCAATTTTTGATGAAATCAGACAAAAGTTTAATTTAAGACCCTTTGGACCTCAATGTGGACCAATTTGATAAAGGAGCCCACAATCCAAAATCTCTTAATACATGATTAGATTCAGCATTTCAAAGAACCCCATAAATATTTTTTTTTGTTGAATCAAACAAAGTTTAATTTTGGACCCTGATTTGAACCAACTTGAAAACTGGGCCCAAAAATATAATATTTAAATACAGGTTTAGATTCAGCATTTGAAAGAACCCTATATATATTTAATTTATGTTGAAATGAAACACAGGTTAATTTTATCCATAACATTTTCTGTGCAAAGGGAAAGAACTCAAACTGGATAAATAGTTCTCTAAAATAAGATATGATGCAATTTTTCAAATTATAATCAATAATATAATAACAACAACCAGTGATGACTAAGTTCTCTAAAATAAGATATTATTTAATACTCAATCATTGCTAGAATCAGCATATCAAAGAACCAAATAATTCAATTTTTGATGGAATTAATCAAAAGTGTAATTTAGGACCCTTTGGACCTCAATGTGGTATTATCTTATTAATAATGAAAAGAAATACAGGTTTAGATTTAGCATTTCAAAGAACCCTATATATATTCAATTTATGTTGAAATCAAACACAGTTTAATTTTGGACCCCAATTTGGACCAACTTGAAAACTGGGCCCAAAATCAGAAATCTAAATATATGTTTATTAATAGACAATATAAGCTTAGTTTTTAAAGGAGTTTACTTCATCAAAAAAAAAAAAAAAAAATATATATATATAGCATTCAGAAAATTAGTTTTTACAGAATAACAAACAAACTTGCCACAAAATTCTACCAAAGAAAAGAAGAAAAAAATCCAAAATCTTATTTATCATTAATACAATGTCATTTCAAAATCTATAAAACTTATCAGTAATAAGAAATAATTGTAACAGAATGCTGTTACGAAGTCTCCCAAACAAAGCTCCAATAATTCGTCATTCCAATTGTCGCTTGATCCCCAGGGGACTCTCCCTTTATTTCATATGATTTGTTTTTTTGTCCTGTACAAGAGTATATATGGTTTAGGGGTAGGGATCTTGACCGTTTACAAGTTCTTAAACAGGAAACTCGCCTTATATTTCATTTGATTTGTTTTATGGTCCCATACATTAATATATATGGTTTCCGCATGGGGATCTTGACCGTTTACAAGTTTTCTAAAAGAAGGGGGGGGGGGGGGGTTACCCCAGGGGATTTCCCCTTAATTTCATTTGATTTGTTTTATTGTCCCATTCAAGAATATATATGGTTTAGGTGTGGGGATCTAGACCGTTTACAAGTTATCAAAAAGAAGGGGGGGGGGGACCCCCATGGACTTCCACTATATTTCATTTGATTTGTTTTATTGCATACAAGAATATATATGGTTTAGGGGTTGGGATCTCGACCGTTTACAAGTTTTCAAAAAGAAAGGGGGTGGGTGTGACCCCCATGGACTTCCCCTATATTTCATTTGATTTGTGTTATTGTCCCATACAAGAATATATATGGTTTAGGGGTGGGGATCTCGACCGTTTACAAGTTCTTAAACAGGAGGGGGTGGGGGTGACCCCCAGGGAATCGCCTTATATTTCATTTGATTTGTTTTATGGTCCCATACAATAATATATATGGTTTCCGCATGGGGATCTTGACCGTTTACAAGTTTTCAAAAAAAAGGGGGGAGGGGTCGGGGGTGGGAGTTACCCCAGGGGATTTCCCCTTAATTTCACTTGATTTGTTTTATTGTCCCATTCAAGAACATATATGGTTTAGGGGTGGGGATCTAGACCGTTTACAAGTTATCAAAAAGAAGTGGGGTGGGGGGACCCCCATGGACTTCCCCTATATTTCATTTGATTTGTTTTATTGCATACAAGAATATATATGGTTTAGGGGGGGGGGATCTCGACCGTTTACAAGTTCTCAAACAGGAGGGGGTTAGGGTGACCCCAGGGGACTCGCCTTTTATTTTTTATTTGATTTGTTTTTTTTGTCCCATACAAGAATATATATATAGTTTCAGGGTGTGGATCTTGACCGCTTACAAGTTTTCAAAAAGAAAGGGGGTGGGTGTGACCCCCATGGACTTCCCCTATATTTCATTTGATTTGTGTTATTGTCCCATACAAGAATATATATGGTTTAGGGGTGGGATCTCGACCGTTTACAAGTTCTTAAACATGAGGGGGTGGGGGTGACCCCAGGGGACTCGCCTTGTATTACATTTGATTTGTTTTATTGTCCCATACAAGAATATATATGGTTTCGAGGTGGAGATTTTGACCGTTTACAAGTTTTCAAAAAAAAAAGGGGCTGGGGTTGACCCCAGGGGGCTCCCCCTCAATTTCATGTGATTTGTTTTATTGTTCCATTCAAGAAAATATATGGTTTAGGGGTAGGGATCTCGACTGTTGACAAGTTATCAAAAAGAAGGGGTTGGGGGTGACCCCCATGGACTTCCCTTATATATCATTTTATTTGTTTTATTGTCCAATTCAAGAATATTTATGGTTTAGGGGTGGGGATCTCGACGGTTTACAAGTTCTTAAACAGGATGGGGTGGGGTGACCCCAGGGGACTCGCCTTTTATTTCATTAGATCTGTTTTATTGTCCCATACAACAATATATATGGTTTCGGGGTGGGGATCTTGACCGTTTACAAGTTTTCAAAAAGAAGGGGGGTGGGGGTGACCCCATGGACTTCCCCTATATATCATTTTATTTGTTTTATTGTCCAATTCAAGAATATTTATGGTTTAGGGGTGGGGATCTCGACCGTTTACAAGTTCACAAACAGGAGGGGGTGGGGGTGACCCTAGGGGACTCGCCTTTTATTTCATTTGATTTGTTTTGTTGTCACATACAAGAATATATATGGTTTCAGGGTTGGGATCTTGACCGTTTACAAGTTTTCGAAAAGTATGGGGGTGGGGGTGAACCCGGGGACTCCCCAGATATTTCAATTGATTTGTTTTATATATATATATGGTTTAGGGGTGGGGATCTCAACCGTTTACAAGATAAAAGCACATTCTCAAATTGAAAGGGGGTGGGGGTAAGAATATATATGGTTTAGGGAGACTTAATTATCTACAAAATGTCTAATAATGAACATTAGATTTCAAATTTCATTTATACAGTCCTATTAGTAAATTTCAAACTTTATATATACAGTCCTACAGATCTTATCAGGAAACAGAAAATTTTCAAATAAATCTGTCACTCCAATGATATTATATGCCAAGATATAACCCAGATCTTATTAATAATTAATAATGTAATTAACTTCAAAATGTCTAATAATATAGCTTATAATCATTACCATTTAGGAAATAGGTAATTTTCAAAAAAATCTGTCACTCCAATTTTTATTGTGAGATAAGACATTATGCTAAGTCATAAAAAAGATAACAAGAGTAAAATATTTAAAATTCCACTTTTGGATATTAAAAATGGCGATAACTCACAAAGGAGATATACTAATATCTTGAAAATTGAACTAGACCTTCATTAAGTCCCAGGAAACAACATATTTAAATTTGAAAAAAAAATTGTTAAGCGTTTTCATGTTATTGTGCTGACACTGTTTGGCAGCCGCCGGTAGGCCCGCACAGCCGTCCGCCGTACATCCCCATTTTAATAACCGATATTTCCTTCGAAAATCCGGTTAAAAATTAAGTATCGTTAATTGAATTTAAATATTTTAGAAAAATCCTTTTAAAATCATGGGTAGATAATTATATTGAATTTGATAGGACAATTTGTGTTTTGGGGATTTTTCAAGAAAATGAAGCCAGTGAGCCCTATTGATATTTGAATTTTCCGATTGCGAAGCAATTCTCTTACCGAATTTTAACCAATTCTTTGTTTAATGTTTCCCCAATAAGGAAAAATTTAGTTTTCCCTATAGAAACCTTTCTTAAATAAAGTTCTATAATATCTTTTATTAACCAAACAACAAGTTCTGTAACTCCCATTTTATATATTGAAATTTCAAAGAACATTGACCAAGAAGTCTTTTACAGTGGTTTAAGAAAAATCTATCGCGGAATATTTGTACACCCCATGGCCAGCTATCTTAAAGGAAAATATATCTCAATATTGTGTAATAACCCTATAGTATTTTAAATATACTACTTTTTCAAATCCCATGGCTTTATTTGAAAATATTCGGGAGAACACTGTAACAACTAATGCATACTGAAATTGCCTTAGTTCTGTAAGGCATATGAAGAATGAAGAAAAGGGAGACAAGCATGAAACTGTGACAAATACTAAACTTTGAATTTTTAATGCTTTTTAAAACAATTTCTAAAGCCCAGACCAACTTCTAGCTAACAAAACTGTTTGTGTTATTCTTATAACATTTGAATTATTTTTGCAAAACTATTACAAAGGGGCTCATCTTCTTTTTTATATAATAATTGTAAAAAAATGCAGGCCCTCTTTTGTGGGAAAAATTTGGTTGATTATATAGGGAATCACTGAAGCATGACTGGAGCGGGCCCCCTCTTTAGGCAGTCAGTGGGCCCCTCTTATGAAAATTTCTGGTACCCAGGTAAGGCTTTTTAAAAACAGAGTGACCACCCATAGAAGTGATTTTAGAGTCCTGCATACATGTAATTTAAAACCTGTTCAACACAATGTTTCGCACCCACCCATAGTAGCAAATTTTAATTGCCTTCCCTGGGTCCCATGTATGTTTTTATGGAACAGCCCTTATAAAAAACTTAAGAATACGTTTATTCTATTAAATATATTAATTTCTTTCTGTTAACTGCAAACTTCTGTAAAATTGCATAATTTTCTCACATTTGTACACAACGGGTTTTATCTTAAAAGCATAATAAGCCAAAATATTTCCTTCGCAAACAATTATTTCTTTACAGTAAACATGGTCCTGTTATGCCAAAAAAGAAAAGATTCAATATATATTTTAGAGATAACATTGATTGATTGGTGTTTAACGCCACTTTCAACACTATTGTGCTATTTCTTGGCGGTCAGTTTTTCTTTGTGGAGGAAGCCGGAATCCAAAAAACCACTTGGCCACCAGGGCCCCTTTTGAGATAACAAAGACTTTATACAACTGACAAGACTTACTTGCAAAATAGTTTCAAAGTTAAAAGTTAAACCATTCCATAAAGTGAATTCCCTACTGGATGCCCCAGTTACAAGTCTTCTTCCTTCAGGCGTCCACTGAAATTGGAATAATTAGTTCATTTCTTTAATCATGTATATAAACTCTTTTCATTTTTCATTTTTTAACATCACAATTTCTATAAGGACAGAATAAAGATAAGAATAATGTTTTTTTTCCACTTGGTTTTCAAGGAGTGGCAATTTCCTTTTATTCTAGATAGAAACTTTCATAGGATAGGATGGTTAATTGTAAAGTAGGATTCATACATGAATTATAATACTGCATGTTGGTAAGACTTCCCTTTGAACCCCTTTCTTGTATATGTATGTTTATGTCCCCAAAAGGCAAGTGAATTTAAATATACTTCCAGATCTTTTCACACTCAGTTGCTGTTCTACTTTTAACATTTTACTAGTCTGTAAAATCTGAACCCCCTGCAAATTTAAGGGGGGGGGGGTTAAATATTCATTAACTACCTACAAATTTGAATAAACTGCTTCGCCAAGGGCAGCTGGATACAACCGCAGAGGTCCAACCCTGAACAGTTGGGGCAAAAATGGACACAATATTCAAGCTTGATATAGGTCTGAATTTGGATTGTAATTAAATATTTGACACATTATAGGTTCTTTTTTAACCCTTTTTGGCCCCTTATTCCTGAACAGTTTGGACAATTACCCCCTAATGAATCCCAAACTTCGACTTGTGGTATTGAACCTTGTGGTACAATTTCAGAGCAATCAATATACTTATACACAAGTTATTGTCCTGAAAGTAGAAAAATGCTTGTTTTGGGCCCCTTTTTGGCCCCTAATTCCTAAACGGTTGGGACCATCACCCCCCAAAAACAATCCCAACCTTTCTTTAGTGGTATTGAACCTTTTGGTAAAATTTCATAGAGATCCATACACTTAAACTAGTTATTGTCCGGAAACCAAATGTCTTCGGACGACGACGATGCAGACGACGACAACATGATAGCAATATACGACCCCAAAATTTTTTTGCGGTCGTATAAAAACTTTCATATGACACTACAAACAAGCAAATAAAAGAGATTTCGGGTACACTTCAAAAAGACAGAAACCCTCCTATGTAATCACAAAAGTTATCAAGAAGGAAGATTTCTAATTTAAAAGGTTTTCTTCACATTGATATCGTAAAATATCAGTCACTAGCCACTATGTGATCCTTTTTGGCAAATGAACACAGCCTACTAGCAAAAAGACTTCAAAGCGACTTTGCTTGCTTTATATCTTCATGCAGAAAACCTGATAATCTGTTTATCATGCTATTTCTGGTTGTGTTTCCCTCCTTTCGACAGTTTTGCGCTTGTCTAAAGTAACCTTGATAAGTCTCCTCACACTTAATGGTTTTGCTGATAACTTCTTAAACATTGAGACAAATCTGATTTGTCCTGCTCATGTTTCAAAGCTGTTATCTGAGAACTCTCGAGCTACATCATGGTAATATAGGCGAAGGGAATTACGATAAATATTTATAAACTTACAGCAAGACAGAATATTGGACATCTGAATGTATTATTTGATGTTCGTATAAACTTTTTCGTCACACAGTTCATTGGATTAGTTTTCATACTCGATGGTGGAGTTAGCTGAAAAGTAATAACATTTTCGAAATTAAGTGGTATGGTAAAAAAAATATAAGTGTGTCCAATGATCTTGATTGTAAAATTTCATACACATGTTTGACCTAACAAAGTTAAAATATGCCTTTATATACATTCTTATTTGTTTTAGAAAATGGTTCATTGTTTTTATACATGTATGCCCCATCACCATTAGAATTTTTTTTCTTGTATACTGTATGCTAAAATTACCCATCTATTTAAGAAACTTTTTACCTGGAAGAGCCCTCACATATATCTATCCATTCTTTTTATATAAAACTTTTTGCCAGTGATTCATCATGTCTTCATCATGTCTACGACATTCAGTGGCCATTCCGGCCACTAAATATTCATCATTTCAGTGGACGAAAGTGTGTGAAACCAGATTGCAAATATATAATTCAGAGGTCTACTGATTTTTAATGGGTATATGGTTCAAATGAAATCCCCAAGGTTTTTTACAAATAGTTAAAAGAAGCTCTACTAGTAACTACATGATAATTGGATTTGTCTAATTAACTTAAGCCTACATGGACAAACCCATATGCTAACTTTGACTTAGAAAATGATTTTTTATATACACCTTTTAACAGTAAAGATAGGTATGCATGTACTTTGAACCCAATGTAATCGCAAAGTAAAGTACCTACTGAAAAGCCATTTGTATCTAGTGAAATTTTCTTATAACTCATGAATCCATGCAGCTCTTTGAAGTTTGTATTTTGATTTAACCTTAGGGCTTTTCCATTTAATCAAACTTGGTACCCAGGGAAGGCACTTTGAAATTTGGGTTACTTCCCATAGATGCAATTTTAGAATTCCATTTACATTTTCACTGTACACAAAAAGTATATGACATCACGTTACTTGAATTTCTATCCATAAATGTTTTAATAAAAAATATATATCATGCCTATACTTTACTACATACAATATTTTTTTTAATTATTTATTAAGTAGAAATTTAATTGACTATGATGACACCCACACATAGTTGATATTTCAAGGAGCCATCCCTGGGTCCCATGTATGCTTTTAATGTAATAGCCCTAACCAAATGAATGTAATGGTATCATCTCTGTAATATCTGTTGCAATAAAGACTACACTTACATCTATCTGATACAAAGAATCTGGCATAACAGCCCTCACATCTCTATCATCTCTCTGCCAACACCGATTCTACAATAGAGTATGTATATATTAGGGCTTTTCTAAATATAATTTTTTTAGGCATAATTGAAGGTCAAAAGGTACTAATAAAAATTGAATTGTTGGAGGGTTTAGAAAATCATCCATCGGCCATGATCGTCGTAGCTAAATGAAATTATCAACTAAAATTTATATTTCCCATATATATTCTTTTTATTTCCTTAGGATCCTGAAAAACATTTAGCTGTATTTTCAGATTAAACAAGCAATACATAGTCCCCTACCGGTTAAGAATTCATTGCACTGGAACAAAATGCTAACTTGATCTATAACTTGTCATGGTGTAAACTATATAACAAATATCAAGTCAATATCTTCAAGCATGACGAAAAAAAGTGTTGAAAACTGACTATTTAAGTGAATTTTCTAAGTCCAAGGACCATAACTCTGCACAACATCATCAAACCAGAACAAAATTCGAACTTGATCTGTAACTTGTCATGATAAAACTATATACCAATTATTAAATCAATATCTTCAAGCATAACAAAAAAAAGTGTGGAAAACTGATTATTTGAGTGAATTTTCTAAGTCCAAGGACCATAACTTTGCACAAAATCATCAGACCGGAACATGATTCGAACTTGATCTGTAACTTGTCATGATGAAACTATATACCAAATTTCAAATCAATATCTTCAAACATGAAGAGAAAAAGTGTGGAAAACTGATTTGCCAGACTGACGGACAGACAGACAGACAGACGGAGTGCAAACCTAAAGCCCCTTCGACTTTGTCGGTAGGGGACTTAAAATGTATTCTATGTATATTCAGTCACCTGTGATACGGTTTCACAATGTTCACAGTGCCACTATGAGGGATTTTCAACTAAATCATAATAATGCTAATATTTGTCAATGATATACATACATGTGAGAAAGTTTTCTCTTTTCTATGATAATGGGTTTAGTAAGTCTACTCATTTGAATTGTTTTACATTTGTGATGTCCAGGTCTTTAATAGCTTGCTTTGCCATATGAGTTTTGCTCATTGTTGAAGGCTGTATGCTGACCTATAGTCATGTTAGTTGCTAACTTTAACATCATTTGGTCTATGTTGGAAAGTTCTCATTGGCGATCATACCTTATCTTATTATTATATCAATATTAGAGATATCATTAATTCAGTAATATATACCTCTATATATTTAATTACTGCAGAATTATAATCAACTGTTTTCCTGTGTACGGCTTTTCTCATCCAATTTTCTGGCGGGAATGGCCTTCCCATGGGCATTGTGGCAACACCACCATCCACCATAGCTGTTGATTGTAAAGCCCTCTAAGTCATTGTTGGATCTGAAATTTATATAAATAGTTTTACTATCGTAATTGTCTGAATTATCAATGTATCCAATCATATTCAATAATTGTCAATATGTATAATATTGATTTACATTTATGATCAATTGTAAAGTCCATTTATCAGTAAAATTCAGAATCTTTTTACAACTAAATGTTAACTGGTAAAAGTCAGTAATATATAGAAAGAACAAAAAAATATTTTCAAAACTCTGCTCTGGATACTGTCTTTTGACCATAAAACAGCTTCTGTCCAACTTCGTAAAATACACAGTTTGACATTTGTTATTGATCATGAAAACAAATTAACCACAGACTGAAACTAAAATGTTAATGCTACAGAATGTAGGTGTATGCCACAAAATGTTGCAGGCTGGACAAAAACCAAACGAATAAAATTGATTGAAGTTCTACAGAAATGTTTTTGACAATTTAGCATTTTGTCTGGAATGATTTTTGTTAAGGTAACACGATACCGAATGGCATATCTCCCGATTTCCAAACTTTTTGACACACGTGTTCTTTGAATCGAATTACATCGGAATATGTAATAAAAAATGGGGGTCACCATTTTTGTTTTCTTGATATTTTGATAGGAATACGTCAATTTTGGCGACAAATTTACATAGGTATATAGGAGAAATGGCTTTTTTTCGGCTTTCCTTTTTAGATTTTCCAATGGATGGATATGTTCATATATACGGAGAAAAACAAAAAACTAACATAATATCCAGGATTGCATACTGAATCCATACACGTAAAAAAACTCATATGTCACCATCCTTGTTTTTGAGATAAATGGCTTCAAAGTTGATCGATATGCCTAGAATTTGACCGAAAACGTATGACGTTATTGAATACAGAATATAACGTTATTCCTACTCAGAGATATGGAAAACAAAATATGTGTCAGGATCTGAATGTTGTTTATTTATTTTCATTTCCCCTGTCGGGTTTCGTAAATTTCCTAGTTATGCAATATGAAATTCTACTGATATAAATTTATTTCGTCCTGCACATGGAAATTTCACTCACATGAATTAACATTAATCTCGTCTGAATTTCACACCAAACGAGCATATACTTGAAACTTGCTTGAACTGGTTGGTTCCACGTAAATCTTATTCTTGACTTGGTACATACATTAGTGTAGTGTACTCTACGTGGTGTAAATGTGTGAGTTGGTTGGTTGAGCAAGTCGGACAAACCTTGCAAACTGTATGCAAAATTTCACAAAGTTCAACAGTCTGTCATTTGTGGAAAATTATTTACAAAACAAATCTTGAGATCATATATTTATTCTTTATAAGTAAAGCAAACCGCGAAATATAAAAGTTCCAGCTTGAAATTCCACATGTAGGAGATGTAAGCCGGAGTCTGTACACTGCGTTCCTTTTATATGTTATCAAAATGCCTAATCCAGCAACCTGTCATGAACAAAAAATTAGAAAGAAAATCCAGACGACATGCGTACCTTTAATATGAGTAGTAACACCAGGTAAATAATTTAAACCTGAAGCAAAAAGACTGTAGTCCTAAATAATTAGCCGTATGTATAATCCCTATGTATATATGTCAAGTGCGGGATTGACGGTCGAACGGACACGGGTGAAACAATATGATGATATGTGCTCTATTGGAATTTTGGTGACAAAACATATTTTTGAATATGCAGTTCATATAATGGAATGGTAATTTGGAGATCTAAAATGAAGTAGCAATGTAAGCAATGTAAGAAAGCTACCATTTCCGTCATTTTGTCTTTGGTGGAAAGTTGATTAATTGGCAATCTTACCGCATCTCCTTATTTCATTATGGTTTGAATTTTCTCAAGAAGAACAAAAGTTTTAAGACTTAACAAATATGTACTAAGAGACTGAAATGTTACTGTGATAATTATACTACACATACTTTCCAATTTAGGGGACCAGCATTTACTAAAACTACAAATTAGAAATAAAAAGATACTCGTCCAATTAGCATTAGTCACAATTTTCTTGAGGTCTTTAGTTTTGATGTCGTTAAATGTCCAGATGTTGCTATCTTATAAATTGCATATCCCATATCTCCATTTATCCTTGTAACAGCCAACTTTTGTACAAAAAACATGTACGATATATTTTTTTGTTTTATTTGTACTTGTCCTTTTACAAATAAAGTCTCATGTTACCCCACTTCCATAATGAGCAAGCGGTCGATTGCTTTGAAAAAATTAGAGGCAATGATTTAAATTTTAACAATTAAAGTTATAAGTGACGGGTGTAAATTGTAGGATTGATTGTAGGTTGCTTAACGTCCAGTGGCAAATAGTTCATGCATGTTTAGGACGAGAACAAGTTAACAATAAATACAATAGCTAGGTTTTGTAATAGAGGCCATCTGGGATGATGGTCGAGAAAATTTGGACTGACACTGAGGGTATATTGGATAGGGACAGACATTTTGTTTCGCAACAGGCCACCTACAGACCTCTCAAAGAGTTGTTTCAAGGGTTCTTAATGTTCAAAGAGCGTAGAACTCTCTTTACACGAGGCATCGGATTTAACGTCCCCATTCTGACCGGACGTGGGTGCAAACTTGATACTAGTACATCCCGCACAGCCAAATGGACGCCCCACTTTGGAAGCATTTTCTGACTGCAGGTCGGAAGAAGACCAAGTGACCATATTTCTATTTCCTAGTCATCCTTGGGGTGTAAATTGTAGAATAAAAACAAAATATAAAAATTATGTACATTGTCAGAAATATAAAATTCAATGTATTTGTACTCACTACGAAACAAGTGGAAAGGTCGGCGAGTCTCGCTTTTCATCGTGTTTCTAAAGCATACATTTTATATTACAATGTACATATATTTATATAGTATATTTATCCAAACAAAGAAATAAAAACACTTCTTTTTTACATGTATATAGATATACTTTTATACTTGTTCTAAAAACTCCTTTTAAGACTGTGAAACTCCTCGGGCTTTTCCTGACGCCTAGTATGTGAGCAATATGTCCCTCAGGGCCTCAAAAGGCAACTATGTTTATTCTCTTTCAGTCGTTTTGTCTCCGAACTTGTAAATGTAAATTATTTCCAACTCAAATCAAACCAAAAAAACCACACTACAACCGAATACCCATGCAAGCGTAAATTAACACGATTAAAAATCTAAATGATTTCAAGATCAAGCTATTTCAGTCTCTTTCTGCCGTTTGAAAAATAATTAGTCAGTCGTTTGCTTGTAAATTTCGAGAGAAAAAAATTGTAACTGAACCAGTCTGACTAGAGCCAGTCCGAACTATCAACTTGCGTTTATAGACGCAAGTGGATACTTGAAGCTGGCTTTAATCAGATTGTAACGGGACCTGAATTTTTTTTATTTTATTTTTGCCGATACAAGTTCCCATGTATTTCTCAGCCTACGTTAACTTTCTCAGGCCTCATTCCGATGTTGCTGTCTGCCCTGTGTAGACTTGGTCTATAGGGTTACAAAGCTAGCACTTTACTTTTAAAATGTTTCCGAAACTATATCGGATTTACTCTGTACAAACCAATGATTTTCAGAGACTGTTTACACTTGGAACATAGGGAAAGTTATTCGGCAAAATAACCAAGTTAAACCACGTTTTTTACATTCCATACTAACAAACTATTTTCTGTATGAGTATCAAAGTCTGCTTATATTGTGCTTTTTCGCCTAATTCTATCCGTATTCTCATTCCGATAAATTTCCTTGTTCCATTTTGCCCGAGCGGTGTTTTTGACGACCATTTTAACACGAATTAATAGTTGTTTTTTCACACATCATCCCAAGTGTATAGATTAGATTTCGACTTTCAAAACAAAATTTCATGGCGATACGGCGCGCATCATGAATAAGTATTTATTGCAAAAATAAACCAAGAATAAAATAAAGTGTTAAAACTCAGTCTGTTATGCATAAAAACATATATAAGATAAATCGTGCAGATGCTTAAATATTAAAGAAACACAATATTTAAAAGTAAAGTAATACATTTTTAAAGGTTAACAATGAGCAGAAGAATTGCCGGAATACGATAAAGCAATCTATGTCAAATAAGTTAACCGTTACGTATTGCATCAAAACTCTCAGCACTCTACATCTAGGGAAAGTTACCGTTAAAAGTGTCACATAATGAATTACCAAAAATATTTTTTTTATTATTTTAAATAATCACTTTGTGATTGCAGAACCTGCTGCATTGGCTTGTATGTGTGAACGTTATTCGATAACGTCAGGAACGATAACTCGTGGCGTAACGTCATTCGTGTTACCTTAAAAGACCTGCAGATGTTTTCCTTTGATATTTTTTATTTCCAGAAATGTCACATAATTTTTTCAATTTGTGATTTGCGGATGTTTAAAAATTTGTTCTCCAATAACAAACAGATGAAATCATATCTTTGAAAGTTCATTTACAGATAATTATAAAATGTCTGTAAATGTATGTTAACAATTTGCCGGACTGACGGATGGATAGACAGACAGACGGGCGGAGTGCAAACCTAAAGTCCCCTTCGACTTCGTCGGTAGGAGGGTGATAAAGCAGATTGTTACCCCGAGAAAACATTGTCAACCCAGGCAAAGCTAAGGTTAATAGATTTTCAAAGGATAACAATCTGCTCAATCTGTACATGTTATTTAATTTGTCATACTGAATGTTTTGTAAATTACTGTCTATCAAATTTTAAATTTTAAATTCCAAATAATAAACTATGATGTCTTGTACATAGCAACCATACATATTTAATAAAGCACACAAGTGATCAAGCGTCTCTGTAAAGGGTAATATAGTATTTGCAATGGGATAGAGTAAATTATCTCCCTTGTATTAACCAATCAAAATCTGGCATTTTAACATGAAGTATAATAAACTGAATTGCAATCCACACTCTTAGATTTATGCAGGTGATGGTATAAACAATACTTAAATACATTATACATGCCTA